GTTATAATTACAAAATTAACTTCTGCTTTAATAATATTGCTATTGCATATAAGTATCTCCACAGATTCATCACCATTCATGCAATACATAATTGCAATATATTTATGAATAACCATTTAAATTACATAATTATATATTTCCGTATGTTAATGTATTTTAAAATTTTTGTAAATTTCGTGATAATATTGGATTGTTCGGAAAGTAATTTCATTTTTACCACGTTACTGCTGACTATTTTACGATTTCAAACGATATTATCATTATACATTTTGACAGAATTACAAATTTAGATATTATAAATTTTAGGTATGTAAAACTCAATATTATATAAGGAACAAGTCCAAAACAATGAAACTATTTATTATAATATCCAAAATGCATATACAATTAAATCATATATAAATTGTCCAGTTTTTTCAAAATTTAACACTCTCAGGAAGTGGAGATTGCCTGTGCCGTATCTTACTTGATCTGATATTCTAATACCTCTCGTATTTTTTTGATAATACCTTTGATGTTCTAAGAGACACTTCGACATTCTATTCTCTCTAATGGCTGCTATTATTCTAAAACCCCTTTTGGTCAGAGTTTTCATCAGGTGTAGACTAGATGTTTTACTTTTATGGTTATGTAATATAATTCTACACAAACTGATAAGTTTTAACTAATTATAACAAGATTGCTGTAAATATTATTTTAAAAATCAAACTTAATTAATTTGTGATCTTCTTTCGACCATTGCTGTTCTTAATAAATCATATGTTTGTATTTTATAAATAAATAATTATAATTAATACACACGACATTCACTCTAGTGCCTTAGGTTACTAACAGATTGGTAGGGTTTGTATTTTAAATCAAATTCTCGTGCATGTAGTTTTGTTACTGCGATTTTATACTGCGCGCTTTTGTTACGGTGCCAAAATCAATACTTACTGTACATAAGCCAAAGTATTATTTAGTAGTACAGCAATAACTCTCATAGTGCGGCTTCGATCAATCCAGATTCAGTACAGTCCAGATTAAAAATTTCATCACAAAATAATTTATAATTAAATCTTAAAAATACTACACTTATTTTTTTTATAAATAAATGATAGTTTTTCTCTTTATACAGTCTAGTTTCTTCTAGTGCATTTTATGCGGTTTTAAAATCCTCGATTAGTTGATGAAGAGATTGTAAATAAAATTACACGACATAAAAAAATAATGAATCTATTATTTTAGTTACATTCCATAAGGGTTTCAAAATATAAAAAAAGGATTAAAACTTGAAATTTATGTGGAATGATAAAACTTTATAAAGAATTACACGATCGTAAGGAGATTGCTGCTTGGGTTTTGTTCAGTCTATTTTACATGAGGTGGTATGTTAGAATGTTTAGGTATGTTGTATTGATGTTGAATGTATTTAAAATACATTTAAAAATAAACTTTTTAAATTCCTGAGTTAATTTATTAACAATCTATTTCATAATTTGAAATTAGTCGGTACTTTATATTTATTTATTCATTCATAAATTTTGTATTTTTTTTCTTTAAATTTCAATTTTATTTCTACTTATATTTTATATATTACAGCTGTAGATTTAAAATATCTATGAAATAATAATAAAAGTACCCTACTTGATTGTTGTGTTTCTGAAAATTAATAGAACATCTCAATTTACTACACCATTAAATAGTTTACAAGCCGTAACAAATGTAACTATTTTATGGTGTTAGACGTGGAGATATTATCAACATATTACAAGATTCTTAGAAATAGTAATGACTATAGAGGTGAAAAAAAAAACAATAGTAAAATTCCAGAAAATGTATATAAAAAAATTATCATAAGTCCTGAAATAATTTGATTACAAAGTAGTTGATAACAAAAATTTGACCGTTAGTCATATATGAAATAATTCTATTATTTAATTTAATATTTTTATTTTTCTGAATTAAAATTTAGATTTTTTTTTCATTTTTTTATTATATTTTTTATTACATTATAAACAAATGTAGTGATAATAAATATTTTTAAATAATGTAATTAAAGATAATAATAAATCACTCTCAGTAATGTATAATTTTAAATAAATTTAATAATAGTTTTAGCAATATAATTTAATATAATTATGTAACAATCATTGTCAATACACTTATTAATGGTACCGACCAGACACTTCATGGAAAATTACATGATTTGGAAATAAATACTTATATAATTTTTATTATTTCTTTAATATTTTAAAGGTATTTTTCAATGATTTTAATTATTTAAATTAACTTCAATTAAATATTCCCTTATTTCTACGTTGTTCTATTAGCATCAAATAAAATTTTCAAAATATAATGATTATTTTTGTGCAGTCTTAAAGTCCTAGATTAGTCCGGTAACTAAAAAATTCGAGTAATTTTCAAGAAAAAATAATAAGGACAAATTATATTTTTATTACAGAAATACAACTTTGATCTATACGGATTTACTATATTCTGGTTTGAAAATTTCCAAACAAACTAAATTTTAATTAAATGCATATAAATTCTGAAAAAAAGTTTACATTATTTTTTTATACATAATTTTTCGCTTTATTTCGTCCATTTATTTTGTATGGATTTAGTTCTTCTATTAGTCCGGTTTCAAACAGTCCGGATTATTTCCGATTACAACTAATAAATTCGAGTAATTTTCAAGAAAAAGAACAAATTATCTTTTTATTTCCATAATACCACTTCGATCAATCCGGTTCATTTACTATATTCTGGTTTGAAAATTTCCAAACAATGCAAATAAATTCTGAAAAAAGTTCATATTATTTTTTTATACATAAGTTTTCGCTTTATTTCGTCTATTTACTTTGTATGTATTTAACGGTTTCAAACAGTCCGGATTATTTCCGATTACCACACTATGTGAGGTATTCCTGTAGTTCTTTTTGAATTCTAGCAATTAAAATAACTCAATAACTATAAATAAATAATTAAACGATATTTAATTTTTATGTAATAATTAACTAATAAATGAAGTCAAAAACAATTGATTTATTTATTTACTTTATTATATAATTACAATATTTAATGAAATAAAGAATTTTAAAATCAAAATAAAATTATTACTTTTTATTAGCAATATTTAATACTGATTAATTAATACATACATTCTTTACCTATTTATTCTAATATTTGAATATTTATATAATATAATTTTTTTTTACTTAATTTAAATCTAGATATAATAATAATCTATTTACATTTACTAAGAATACTCAAATATATTTGCTTACAAATTAGCATATTAAATATTATCACATCAAGTACTTAATTACAGTTTAAACAATACCCAACGATCGTTTTTTTAATTAAATAAATAATTTATAGTCATTGGATAATAAAGATACATATGTATTATTTTTAATTAACTAAATTTAATAAATTCAAAAATAATTTCAAACCGATCACAACTAATGCTAACACTAAAGTTGTACACATATAATGATTTTGTTTTCTACAAATACAACATCCGACCATTACAGTATTTCAATATAAAAAGTATCTTTTATATTATCTCAGTTTATATTTGTGCTTTCAAACTCCATTGTGGAATCATGCTAATAAATTGTTTAGAAAATGCAATTTAGTGGACATCTAACTATAAGAATATGAGAAAAATATGTTGAAAAAAATTTGAATTGTAACCCTATTTTTATAAACTTATTAAGGACAGAAAAATGTTGGGATTCTTCCTTCTATGAAAAATTAAATAATCAAAAAATGAGACCATCTCCAAGTAAGAAGAGAAGTAGTTGTGAATGTTGTTTTTTATGTTGTTGTATTTGATAAGGGTTGTACGTAATGAGCAGGTGTCGCCGACAATGGAGCAATTAACTCAATTTTTTTCTAATTTAATTAGCATAGCTTGTATTACATCAAATAAACGGTCAACAGTTGATATATTCCAGCGATATAGACTTTATCCACTTACCTCATAATTCCCAGATTAGGAACACTGTGAATGCGTATTATATCATATTTACCTGTTTTCTAATGCCCTGTGATATATGTCGTTTTGTGACAGACGCCGGTGCGAGATTTCCATGAAAATAGTATTACATTATTAACAGGGCAAATAGAAACGAGATGGAATCTGTTTCCTTTGATGAAGATTAAAGGAAAAAGAGAGAGAGAGAGAGAGTGCTCGATGTGGGAAATAAAGAGAAGAAAAAAGCACGTGGTCGAATCGGCGAGCCCCTGATGATAAAGAAGAGGGGTGCATCGTTGTTGTTGCGCAACTCGTCTTTTCGGGGGTGTTTGTAAATAATGTTCAAATAGTTTGCGCTTTATTTAATTATATTTTTATTTTGATAAATGAAGAGGCGGGAACTAAAATAAATGGAGGTATTTTAAGAAGCAACTGTATAAATAAACGATAGATCATTTGCCTTAAATTTAGACTTCGGCGGTCGTGCGGACGGTGGGAGGGTGCGGTTGGGTTTCATATTAACTCGACGACATGCTTTGGTGGTGGTGAGTTTTGTCAGTTTTATTTTCGTTTCACACTGGATCGTTTTTCGTTCTCGTTGTCATTATTACCATTTTTTTTTGTATTTTTTTAAATTTTATTTATTTATTTCTTTCTTTCTATATTTCGTAAGTCTTTCATTGAGCGTTGGGATTTCATTGCGTGGGACAACGTTGGATGGTTGATGAATCGTTCGTGGTATGTGCACATGAAGATGGAAGAGAGAGTATATGTGTGTATATAGGAGAGTATGTGTGTACGTGAGAGACAGAAGAGGAAGTTTCGATATCGAACAGGTTGTTGCTCCCCTTATTATTTAAAAAAAAACGCCGGGATGCTTCAATCACCTTGTCATTCTCATCATTATTACTTGTAGTTTTGTTCTCTGTTTTTTTTTTGTTATTATTATTAATACTATTATTCGCCCATTATTATTATTATTCTTTTTTTTTTAATTTTTGAGTTTAAATTTAAAATATGTATTATATATTGTTATTTTTGTTTACTGTTACTGTTACAAATGTAATAAATACAATTAGAATAAATAATGATGGTACGAGTCAGTCGGGGTGAGGAGTACCAGATTCCTCTGGCAGTGGTATAACAGTGGAATCTTCCCAATCCCATGAAGTGGTCGAGTCGATGATGTAGTCTTCGTCGGATGTGTTGTCTTCGGTGACGACGACCGGCGCCTCGGTGGTAGTCTTCAGCAGTCGATTCTTCCTGTTGTTTTTAATACCTTTGGGGTTCTTCTTCTTTTTTGCACCACCTAATTGTTTATCACTAAATTTAGTCTTTAGTTTCTTTTTAATAGTCACTTCTACTCTTTGGCACTCTACACTGTCATCAGATACACACTTCTTAACATTACTATTGCTACCGTTAATACTAATTAATTTATTCTGTTTTTTGTGGCACAGTTCGCTCTCGGGTTCGCCTTCGAGACATTTTCGCTTCTTCTTCTTCCGCTTCTTTCGTTTTCGACACTTCGACGGCGACTCGGAGTCGGCCACGGATGAGGACAGCCTTGAGGACGTCGACTCCGACGTGGAACATAGGTGACCGTGATGGCGGATTGGGTGAAGTTCCTCAACCCTTTCTGGTGCCACGTGGCGCGTCAGAACGCGGGTGAATGAGGAAAGCCTACCTAAGGGTTGGCGCGCCCGCAATAGCACTTTGCGAGGAAGACCCCTTTTGTTCAGTGCCAAATAAAAGGTTTTCCTCTCATTTGAGTATTTTGTTGATGAGTACGTGTTGTAATGGTGCTGCTCTATCATCTCATTGAATACGCATTCATCGCTAAACTCTCTCTGAAATCATAATACATAAAAATACATTAAATTACATAAGTAAAATTAATTAATTGATAATTCAAAATCTATTGTATAATTGTTTCAATAAATATTGTTATCATTAAAAAAAACAATTATATAATTAAAATTAATAAAAAAGTTATTAGATTGGAAGATATAAAAAAAGGAAAGTATTATTTGCGCACTTTTATTTAGATTCTAGATAATGACTTTTATAAGAATTTAAATGAGAGCCGTAAATCATCAAAAGTTGAAAATTATTGCAAAATTGAATCCTAATCCCATAGCATAATAATAATTAAATATAGACTATGCTTAATGTGGTTTATTTTAAAGTACTTTTGATTTTAAAAAATGATTGAATATTAATATTTCACACATATTTTATTTGTAATTAAACATACTATTGAATTCAATAAATGATAAAACTGTTATAAGAAAAAATATTATAAGAAACTAGTCATCATTAACTATGACAATATCTTGACTTCATCTATATCCACTATATGGTTTTTATATAATTTTACCCTGGTATTCTTTTTTTTATTTTGCTGACTGGTCGGGTTTTAATTGAAATATAAAAGCAATGGGATTTTAGTGCGTGGGACAGCGGTCAATATTTTGATGCATCGTTCGTGGTATGTAAATATGAAGATGAAGATAGACGAGAAGAGGAAGCTTTGATGGAACAGGTTGTTGCTCCCCTATTTGCTTTCAAGTTAGATCACCGAGTCATTCTGGCTTCCATTAATATTATTATTACGTAACGCATTCGTGAATTTTCATTGAAAATGTGTTACGAATTCAAATTCGTAAGACTTGATGTAACGGTAAAAATCGGTGAAGTGGTTGATCGGATAACATGTTCGTAATCGTATGCATTTTATTCAATACCCATCACCGGTGGTGGTCTTCACGAATCGATTTTTCTTGTTGTTGTTTTTATTGCTTTTCGGGTACAACACCTAATTGCCGGTTCGTCGGGAATTAAAAGTGCTGTTCCTTTCCGATGGAAACATCCACGCTCTCTCTCCCATGTTCTCCATTACTACTAGACTGGTAATGCTACAGCTAATACCGATTAATCCATTGTGGTGACATTCCAAGGATTCGTTCGGGCTTTCACTTTCATCTTTTACTTTCCTTATTTCTACAACTCATATGACAATTCATATTTAACAACTAAAATGAACAATTTCGATATCTACGAACATAGACAATTCAAAAGGGGATGAATATAAATAGACAGTTAGATTAGATTCAGGAACCTAATGGTGAGATAATTCCCAAATTCCCAAAGATTTCTTCGAAATAATTATTGACGGCATTAAGAGATAGCGGCCACGTTATGCCCTCTTTATGGCTTTCGATTTATCGCTTTATTATATAGCGCACACACCCACCCTTAATCTAGCTCCCCTATCTCATGGACCGCATCATAAAAAAAAAACGAGAACTTGTTCGAATGGATGTCGCCGCCCTCGCCTCCCCACGGCGACCGTTAAATAAACAATTTAATTAGTTAACTTCGTAACGGGCTTATGTAAATCGAAGAATGACTTCGTAATGAACGGACGTATTTATGTGTTTCGATACAGTTACACATAAAACTGTAGTAATTTGGAACAAAACTACAATTTCATTGTAATCGAAACCAACTTGAAATGTATCTGAATACACTTTTTTTCCGGCTAGATACATAATTCTGTTTACGTAACAAATCAGAGTTATAATTGGGTCTTGAATGAGTGCAGACTTATGCCGTAATCTAGTGTGCAATAAGCAATAAAAAAAGCTTGTGTCAATTAAAAATAGAATCCGTTATTTGTATTTTTTAAGCTGTGAAAACTCAACTTTTATTTACCATTTACTTTTAAACAATAATTGAAAGTTGATCGATAATTTCATTTACATGAAATATATTTAATAATTACACAATTTAGTAATAATAACAAGACCATTCGACAATAAGTTTAATATATTTTTTTTATTTATCTTAACTATTGCAATAAATATTAATAAGTAAGGGCAAATATGGGTCGTATTATATTCGAATATGATTATTTGTATAAGACTGTAAGATGATTCAACAAATGCATATAACTTCTACTATATAATTACTAATTATTGCGTATTTCCATATTAGTTAAATAAGTGATGTAAATTCTGTTTATTTGTAAACAAATGTTTTATAAAGAGAGACAAATATGGGTGCGTATTATATACGAATATGATTTTTGTTTTATAAGAGTTTACGATGATTCAGCAAATGCATATAATTTCTACTATATAATTACTAATTATTGCGTATTTCCATACTAGTTACAGAACGTAAATAAGTGATGTAAATCGAGCAGAAGAGTTGCGAAAGCGAGCAGAGAACAGAAGCAGGTGATTGACGGAGTGGAGATAAAAAGAATGATGATGTTTACACATGGAAGTGATTTTGTAGACGGAAGGAGTTTCTCAATAAAAATGAAGCCGTTGTGTATATGAAAGTTTCACCTCAAGTGTTTATTTGAGCGGATTATTTATAGGGAAAACGGGGCGATCCCGTCATATTTATTTACATCGTAAAATAGGCAGATTTACATGGATTTCGCATAATTCGGAGATGTCGAAACGCGGGTTGCGCCCTATCGCCTCGTCCTTGGCTCCGATTTGGGTGGAAAAAAGAGAGTAGACGAGCCGCGGGGAGAATCTATTTTCGTAAGTGTGTCGTGTCGTAGAAAGAACAAGAACGAAAAAATAAATAAATAGAAATATATAGATATATGTATATGTGTATATATTTAAGTATGGTGGAAGGCGAATTTTATCGAATAAATCAAAAATCTTGAAAACAACAATGGTTGTTTATAAATAAAACGGCAACACGTCCAACATTGTTGCGGAAATGTGTTCGATGTTTCAAAATTCGGCTATTAATAAGCATTTCGTTTGTTTGTTGTTGTTGTTGCTGCTTATTTTTTTGTTTCTTCTTCCTCTTTTTGTTCGTTTCTGTCAGGAATTCAGACGTTGAGGTTATTCCTGTAAAAGTTCTTGCTTTTGCGGTTGTTCTCCGTTTTGTTTTCGGTGTCCATCCTGGTCCTCCTTCAGGCACGTGCCACCGATGATATATTATTGGCCAAGTTCTGTAGCACTTGGAAACGATTCCGTCGGTTCAATCATTCATAGAGCATTGTATTCAAATGGGTATCGACTTCTTGGGGGAGAATGCCATCACCATCTACGGCCTCCATCCACGACGCGGACGAAAAAACTTGTTGCTGCGACATTCTTGACCGAAAACGGATTTTCGGATGGACCATCACGATGATGGTAGACGCCCGTATACCCTCGGACCAACTGTGACCCATTTCGTGACCCACTAAGTGGATGTACCACTCCAATCCGACTCATCGTCGCGCCGCTCTAATCCGCATATCAACAATGGCACGAATCACCGAGTCGCCCCATCATTTATACCGAGAGCACATCCATCTATCCATCCTCTTTTTTTTTTTCATTCGTGTCCTCGAAAAATTACAAACAGCGCAATTAGTTAAACCGTGTGCCCAGTGACATAAATCCGACGGCCGTAAGCCGCCGCAATTTATTGCAATGCTGCTAATGCTGATAAAAGAAGAAATAGTTGGTTGCTTGCTTCTGGCTCTCATTTCAAACACACTTCCATTGAAACGTTCTACGTCTTTAATACCTCAATGTAGCACATCAGACGTGTTTCATGTACTTTTATTTTCAAGCAAACTTGAACTGCATTTAAATTTTATTTCCACTTTAACCAACTGTTAATCATATTTTTACATATCATTCTTCTATATCATCACACTTATTTAATTGATTTATATACCGTTGCCTAGAAATTCATTTTATCCACAATTTAATTCCGTTTAGTTTTCTTTTTATTTATTTTTTTTATAAACCTAAAATTAAATTAAAAAATGAAGATTAACAATTTTATACTACAAATATTTGAAATACCAACGGAATGTATGTATGTTGATTTATACCTTTCATAGATTATATAAAACGACAAATTTAATGGCTTTTCAAGTAATGAAATCACAAATTCTAAATAAAAATACTTTCAATGGAATGAAGACATCGCTGAAATATATATTCCCATAAAACGTAATTAGTTCGAAATGAATTATGTAGATTTTATTCTGTTACAGCTATAAAATTGAGAAATATAACGTCCAAAAGACACGACATTTATTTATTTTTTCTCCTAGTGTAANNNNAGTCAATTGCAAATAATTGCACAGTTTGCATATTAAATCGATGTGACTCGAGTTAGTTGGGTTAATGGTTGCACTTGCAATAGTTCAATTAAAATTGTATATATATATTTTTTTTGGTTTGTGCAAATTGATCGAACGCCGTGCAGATTGAGTTTATTTGAAGAAGGCGAAGTTCATTCGAATCCAAATATAAATGTACGATGTGTAATATTTTAACTAAACGGTTGAAATATTTTGATTGTTTTACGCGATTCGAGTAAATATTGATTTTCCTGACGGAATACGGCTCGTAACTTTTGACGTGATTGTACGCGTTCTCCGCAAGCAAATAAACTTTTGTTGCTGATACAGAATTAGGTATTTGTGGCTGTTAAATTTACAGATTTCCATAACCTTATCTAATTGCATTCGACGTATTAATGGGTTGGGCATACTAAATTTTACTCAGTAATATTATCTAGTGGAAGGGACAGAAAAGGTTATATTAATTCGTCGATAGGCTAATCTGGAATTATGTGTCCTATACGTGACTTTAATAGGATACTTTCCTTTAAGACTCCATAAAAACTTGGTTCCCTGCGATACTATAATGCTTTTAATTGTTCCTTGCCTTTGATTGTATCACCTTTGAGTGGTTATTGAACAAGTTTAGAAAATCTTATTTCTTCATTAAATAATCTTCATTTAAGTAAAATTCCAAATTTAAGCCTTTTAATATTTGGAATATTGCTATAACTAATAATATAAAAAAATATAATTACATAATGTGTACTTTACAAGGATATAATGAGATAATTACTTTAGGAAGACAATGAATGCTTATTTACAGTTAATATTATTGTATAACATTTACGTTGTTGGTGTTAAAATTATTACAGTCGAACCTCGCTTAACGATAACCCCTTCCAAAATTTCCAGATTTTACTCGTATCGTGAAACAATTGTAGAAAATGATGTAACTGGCGCACAATCCGGGATTTCTCTTCTCGTCACTTGTCACTCGTTAAGCAAGACATTTTTCTTACAATTCATTTTGCTAGTTAATCGAAATGCTCGTTATGCAAGGTGCTCGTTCCACTGTATTATAGTGGTTCAATCTAGGCGGCTTCTTAATGTTTATTAATTTCGTAGATGCTATTGTATAAGTCAACTCTAAGTCGGTTTAATGTAGGTCATAAATATTAATATAATAGTGGTCCAACCTAGGAGCCTTCTTAATATTTATTATTTTCGTAAATACTATTTTAAAAGCCAACTATATATCTAGGAAAACTATGTTAGTGATAAATATTTTATGATAGTGGTCCATCCTAGGTGCCCAATTGCTGTATATTGTTTTAGTCGTTAAAAAAGGATGAGAAAAAGAATTGTTCGAAATGAGTGAGATCTGGTTACGTCCCTGATTTACAATCTTCTGCCGTTTTCGGGTTACGTGCTTGAGCGCTGGCCCGAAAATATATCTGTGGGTCATATAAGCAAGGTCGGGGTTTACGGGTCACCAGAATCAGGCGACATGCGGTTTTCGCGGATCATTGAGGCTTATTTCCAAACAACGGAACTAGTTAAAGTTGAAGAACCCCGAAAAAAGGAATGTAATACATTGAAAAATATAGTATACATTGAGTAAAGTAAAACAGTTGAACAAGAAATCTTTGTCCGTCACATCAGTGAGTTTTAGTTAGATGCGAGAGTACACTATTATTTGTAATGTGCGTGCTATGTTCGCTTAACACGTTTTTAATTGTGCGAAATCGCGTTTTAATAATGCGGCAAGACACAGGGAAGAAGTGCTCTTCCCCTTTTCTGCACGGCAATTAAAATGTTTTCCATTGCAATTTAGATTTGTTTCTTGGGCGAGATTGGAGTTTAATTGAAGCGATTGAATGGTCGCGGACGACGCCATTAAGGATAATAAACTGCGGCACGCACGGCTCTTCTTCGTCTTCATATGGGCATTCTCTTCGGTTTTTTGTACACATAAACAACAGCACTATTCTCCAGTATTTTCTCTCCTAATTGAGCGATAGTCCAATAAAATAACTTAAGTTACGAAAGTTGTCTACATAACAAATTTATTCCTAATTAAGTCAAATACAACGAGAGATTATTAATACAGAAAATCTTTCTAATATAATATTAATTAAGTTTACAAATATCATTATTTTACCATTATTATCTAACAACATTATACCTGATTAATATATCACTTAGTTGTGTAAGTTTGACAACTTTACTCTTAATTTAATCACAGATATATCCTAATTACGATTTATTTCTCAAATTAAATTGTATTATTAGATCCAATAATACAAAAATAAGGATATTTTAAAATATTTTTGATAAATTCAATTGGAATAATTTTCTATTCATAATGTTAGTGTGTTTTTATTCAATAGTAAAATTTACTAATTATTATAAAAAAAAATCTTGTTTCGAAATTTTAATCTAGCTATATTTTATTCGTCGCGTTCAATTAAAGGTTACGTAATACCTATTCTAGTAAAAACTTCTAGTATATTCAGTTTTACATTAATAAACTTTATGGTTTTGTTTATATTTAGAGCTTTTTCTTGTTTATAAATTAATATTATTTTAAGGGTCCCATCAAACGTCTAAATTAGCTTCAGGCTATTAGAAAAGTGTAGTTGGTATTTTTAAATTGGTATTTTAACAGTGGTAGATGTTAGTGATATGTTAAGACAAACTTTGTTAAGTATCTGTCGGTGGTGTGGTTTGACCGCTCGTTTGGCCGAAAGATGAAAGAGGTTTTTATTGACAGGTGAAGATTTTTGACATGTCAATTTACGAGGGCCGCGGATCGGTCAAACCAATTTCGGCGGGAAAAGCCATTAAAAAAATGGATGCCCTATGAATATGTAAAGGAGGGCTATAAACAAAAATCGGCCGCAAATTTATGACAATCAGACATATCTTAATTTATATGCAAACCGATCCCGCTTATTTCTACAAGCCTCATCTCAATCTATCTCTCTCTCTCTTGCACGTATTGAATTCTCCGGTTTTTTGGCGTTTCCCGAGGGAAAGTTAGAGCAGATAGATTTGTTACAGATTTCGGTCGAAATTAGCCGCTATTTATATTTAGGGTCCCTAGATGTAATCGGCAGGCCCCGAAAGTGAAGCGCGATAAACTAAAGAAGAGATAGAAGAAGAATATCTAAAAAAACATAGACAAGGAGGAAAGAAGAAAAAAAAATGGGCGCATTGTTCTATACTGCACCTTCGGGCAATCTACCATCCTAAATCAATCGATCGATTGAGATGTTATATTGCCGAGGCGTGACACTCCGCAGGTACAACCCCAAGAAAACACGAAGAAAAAATATATATATGTGGAAGAAATCCAAAGGGTTGGTAGCTGGTCTAGCAAATTAGGGCCTACCGGAACGCACCGTCCTAGCTAATTAATCACCCCCTTTTTTTTTCTACAGACCCTGATTGATTGTTTTATCTCCGAATGGGCGAACGTGATAATATTTTAATTTCCCTTATTCAACAAATCGTCGAAAGATTTCGTTGCGGGATGGGGTGAAAAAATTCTGTGTTTATGTATGTGCATATATGAATGACTCGGTCGTATAAAATATAATATATCACCCCATAAATTCGGTACCCTCCGGACGGATTTTTTGAAAATGCCCGACAGACGTCCGCACAGTTATATACATTTCACTTAATGTTCCGTAAAGTAATTGCCGGAATGCCTAATTGTCCGCAGGTAAAGGTAGTGGACAACCAACTTGACACGCATAGGCACACGTTTCCCATGGTAAAAGCATTTAAAAAAGAAATTGATTGGATGATCACACGGTCCACTTGATGTGCACTCCATTTGCATTGAAGCAATTGTCGTAAAACTGTTCTAAATATATAATTTACATTGTCCCTAATTTATTCAAATTTCTTAATTCAATTTATTACCATTTCGTTTGTCTAATAATGACTACAATATGGTTAAAATCTATGGTTATACCAAAAGGTTCTTTCTAATAATTTTCAAGATAAAAATGACATTTTATAAGTTACTAAGCTTAAAGAACTTTGAGTCAAGAAATATTATTATTAACATAAGAATACATAGCTTTTGTATAAAGATTTTTTTTGAAATCAATTGATATTTGATGAACTATTCATTTACATTTTATATCGTTGTATAATGCATTTTGATGTTTATGAAACACTACTATATACTTAGCTAAACATAACTTCATCGAAACTCGTTTTGGTTCTTTAATCAATAGGAATACATTACATTTCGTAATACCCGTATAAATGGAGTTTTCTAAATTGATTTCATTTAGGTTAAGCACACAAACATTTTATAGTTATTTATCAACAAAAAATGCTTATTTTATAATAATACATAACCATTTTTTTTAATCATGTAAACGAAATAATGCAATATTGGTAACTTGGGAATATCATATTATTTGTATTAAATTATTTTAACTTTTGTATTACTTGTTGGCAAAATGTTTAGATGTAAAATGTATACTTTTACCGTAACATATATATCATATAATTATAAAATATTATTTGTAATATAATTGATAATATTAAAGCTATTATTATATGTAGTGCACTTGTATTTGGTGATATTAAAAGGAAAATTCTAAAGCAAGACATTCTATTTGATTAGTGGTTAAGACAGCGTTCACAATTTATATGATAATGTTGCAGTTAATGTTCTTTTAGAAGGCAAGCTTTTAATGGAAGAATGTTGATAGCAGTCAGTGCTTTCAATTTTTCCTGTTTAATCCCCTATTTCGAAAAGCAATGATTGATGTGCTTTCTAAATCAAAATCAATAGAAAGTGAGTGAAGGAAGGAAGACTGAGAAAGAGAGAAGAAGAAGGTATAAACGAGTGAAAGAAGCAGAGACCGCTCGAGGAAAAGCGTAGTAAATTATGTGTAATGAATTGATAATGCGTGGGAGGTGACCGTAGTAAGAACAGTCAGTGCGATTGGCCTACTTCTGTGCTGAATGAAATGCGAGTGTTGTGATTTAATGGGCAAATAAAAATGCAAATAAAAGAGATACTCGACCGTTGCACTGGGAACTTTTAGTTACTTAGTAGTCGAAGCCTTATTTGCATACGTCGCGCAATAAATGAACGCTAATGGCGTCTCTATTACCACTCCAAACAGAATCGGCAGATTCTAATCTGACCTAAAAAATTTCGCTGTCCGCGCAGAAACTCCGTCAAGCGCATGCATGCAACGCAAGGTGAGTAAGTAGGTATGATCAGGTGGATGGATAGATTGATGGATGTAGGAACTTTGTACTCACCGATCCATACGGCAGTCCGCAGGCATCCATACATAAATATTGGCAGGTTCCGACTGCTTGTATCTTCAGTTGACCAACTCCCACTGTCGTCCTCTGGAGGATCGCTGAAACGAGAAAGAGAAGAGCATCGTAAATAGATCGTCGCAATCAAGCGCGTGGGCGTCCTTGCCATTCCGGAAGAGCGCAAATGACAAACGTCGGTGGGAAAAAACAAAACAAAACAAAACAAAAAACAAGAAATGGAAATAGGAGAAGGAATAAAATAGGAAGATGCCAAAGTCGCTGTGTACTGTGTATGTTCGAGTAAGCGTTTACAGCGGCTGTAAAAATGAGAAAAGGATATTTACGGTCGATCGGAGGTCGTAAATCGCGTCCTGTCACCCTTCGAGAACCAAGGGATACACACACAAAGCGGACGAAATAAGGATGTTTTTCAATTGCGTGACGCGGCGTCTCGGGATTTACAAAGCGCGATAAGATTGTGGGGGTAATAAGGAAGTGCCTTCTCAATCTTTAAATCTCCGCTGACACTAAGCTCCAATAAATATTTATGTTTATTTTGATGAATGACATTCAGTAACGGTTACAGGAAAAAAAGGGAAACGAACGAGGAGATGGGAACGAGATGAATTCTAATAAAAACAACAGGATAATGCTGTCTGCCGACGAGTGAAAAAAAAAATAAATAAAAAGAAAAGTTATTGATTTCCTGGAGGTTTCGAGGCGTAATCAATTAATTGCGAAACCTCTTTTATCGTGAGCTGATCGAGATTGGTGGTCGCGGCGGATCAAAATCAGGATCGATTTTCCGCCGAAGATGATGAAAGTGCGCGATGATTATGCAACGGATTTCACTAATCCTCGTGCATAGCACTAGAAAGCGCGATCAATTTGCGTCTCGTTCATCATCGTTGTGCAAACATCGGCGCTACTGGTCTTTTCAATTACTGGTTGATACGGGAATCCGTTTTTTTCAGTGCAACTGCTTTCGAGGATATTCAAATCAGCGCTGATAACGCGCAATTACTAAAGAATTAACTCATGCAATTAAATGTAATCATCAATCAAATGTCGATAAAATCCTTCCAACACAGTAACAACATTGTTTTTGTACTGAAATCAAAGAATTCTGAGGGATTACTCAAAGAATCGTTCTTGATTTAGCTATAAGTTTGCAATGATTTCAAAATATATTCGTTTCAGACAATTCGTTATTTCAAGAATTATTGTATAAAGATGTTAACAAAACTTGTAAAAATGTATGATAAATATAATAATATGTGCATCTTTTAAAATTGTATACATTTTTGTCTGTAGTTAAGTGTATTATGTTATAATTTTAGTATGCGAGTCGAAACAATTGTCGTATTATACACGGATTTTGTTAATACTGTTGGAATTGCGTTAAAAGACCTAATGTTTGCGATACGATTAGTCATCGTTTTGCAGGCAATACAAATCGTGACTTAGTGCTCCACCTTCAATTATCTCGTCCTTAAATCCTATTTGCTTTTCCAATTGGATAGATCGGAATCTACGTGTTTGGGGTTCCAGGAACGAGGGTGGCTCTAAAATGAAATATATTTGGACCGGCTCTTTAGGTCGTTGTTATATATATATATATGTTGTTGTTCCTCCTTCTGTTGTTGTTGTTTCTGCTCTTTCCCTCCCAACATGGAGAGTTATGTAGCTCCAGGGAGTGGTGATTCGGTATGGTAAAGTAATTACTTGTACATACATGTAAACCATTTGTCTGTCAGCGAGTCGGATTCGGGTCCTCCTGTTTCGGTTTTTTCTTCTTTTCACTTGTTCATCTTCTTTTCTCTTCTTCTTCTTCTGCTAGTCTTCGTAATCTGTCAGGGTGGCCCACCTACGATCGCTCTCATATAATAACGATTTCAAAGTAATTGGATTACTTTACCGACCTGTTGACGCGGTGCCCTTATATATATAGTTTTATTTTTTTACACGTCCGAGCCACCCCTTCGGGAGGGTTATTAATGGCCTCAATAAAAGCGACGCGGATTCCGATAATATTAATGCGGACGGCACCGAAACAAAATCAAGTGGGTTTTAATTGACGTTTTTATTAATTATATGACTTATCAAATACACCCGATAACGCATTAGAATGATCACTATTCGAAAAACTTAGGTAGCTCCGTGTAACTGACAAGTTACGTCGTCGACTAAAAAAAAAGACAACAAGAATATTTATATATATATATAAAAAAAAGGAACGAGAATGGATAGGAATCCTTAATGTATTTTGTGGAATTTACATGTATAGAAGATATATTGGGAAAAGCTCAGAATGTCGTTGGGCTTGGTTATTCTCGAGGAGTCCGGAAAGTTATTAGAAGTTTTACGCTTAATTAAACGGAATACATCCATTATGGGCTACCTGTTTTTGGGAGTTTGTTACCTAACCAAGCCAGGAAGTGCCTCCCGGAGAATAAGAAGAAAACGAAGATAAAAAAAAAAATGTATAGAAAACTATGTTCGTTTTAAGTTATATCCATTATTAACAATTTTTTATTCACATATCTGGAGGTGGGCGGATTTAGAAGAATTCCCGTTACGGCGGGGTTTAAGGTAAATTTGAAATTCAAATGGACTCGCGGAATAAACAATAAATAAGAGACGGTGGAAGAGTCCTTTGGACGCATTGTATAAATAGATAGGAATAGTAAGTATGCAGGACGGTAGTGTGTCAGTTCGATAGTGGAGTAGGTATCCAAAAAGAATATGAACGAGTTTGTATATAAATAGCGACAAGTAAATTTAGCGTCTTTAGTAGAGAGACGCGTTTTACTCTCATAACGGGCTTTGTCCCAAAGGAACAAGTGCAGTTTTATGCCTCCACTATTTCTATTTATTTTTAACGCGATATTTGCATTAGGCTCAACTCATAAATGCGTTTGCAACTATTTCGTTTGTATTTTTGGTAGAACAGTTAACGAGCATCGAGGAATGCAATTGGTTCAAGCTTAGATGTATTTCAATTATTTGTGCTACAAATTAACCTTTGAAGCAAAGCAAATTTCGTTTAGTCTGCGTATTCTTAACCATCCCATTCGACAATCTGTCTTTCATTTCTCTGATCACTTTTTTTCTTTTCTATACCGATTTTCTTTAGCTTTCAGGTTACAACTTTGAAAATACTAAATATTTGTATACACAGATCGTGTCCATAAATATGTTCTAATTATATTCAAATTAATACAGATATGAAAGAAATATACAATAGTAAATTATTAAATAATATTAAATTTACAAATTACACAATTTTATATTTATTAAAGGACAAATATTGTTTTCGATATATTATTGCTTACAAAGGACTTCCTTCCGCAGGAAATGGAAATAAAGTAACAATAACCAAATAAATTACTACAGCAGTAGCAGATTTTATCCTCGTTATAAATTTTACTAAACAATTTCAGAATATTTTGCGGGGTGATACTATAAAGGAATATCTTTAATAGAGCGACATTCTAGTCGAGAGGTGATACGTATACGTGTCCATAAACGGCGACGTGATGCGAAATAATGTATATGCCCAGTCTCGCCCATATTATGGCTACCACGCACTGATGATATCTGACAGACATTTTATTTTGTGTTTGTTTTTTTCGTCGTTTTTCTTTTGCTCCGCTTTCCTAGTATGTTAAATATAAATATCGGATATAGTGTCAGTGGCATGACTTCGAAGTATTAATTTCGCGGAGAGTCTAATACTCATTGCTCATGCCTTCTCTATCTTCTCCGTTTGACTCGTGGACAAAGACGCGGCCGTGCCTGACATCGAAACGCGATTACAATTACTTCCAATTAGTTTGTGTGCGTTAAAATGTTTGAGCAATTGTTTGCAGTTGGCATTAGGAAAACGTTAGCTTGACCAATTTCTCGACGGGGTTTCATCATCTCTACTCGCGGAAATCCTCGATTTTTTTTTTATTGATTGATCTTGTATCCTGTTGTTTTTTTTTGATTATGGATTTGTAATAATTAATCTATACATTTTGTTTAAAAATTATATAATTTATCTTCGATACCAAATTGTAATGTTTAGTTAATATGTGTGATGTCTTAATATTTGTTTTGATTGAATTCGAGTTCTTATTTTATATACAATAATTTTTCTTGAGGATTGCCCAAACCAGTTACAACTTAAGTGTATACAATCAAAAGGAAAGAACGAAACTAAATGTAAGGTCAAAGTACCTTAACCATTCCTTTGGGCAGTCGGAAACATCGCGGCGCAACTCCATTACCCATGTCAATACCGATACATAATTAAGTCGAAATTCCGTTTATTTGTCTATCTCCCGTGGATCACGTAATTGTGGACAGGGTGGTGGTAGTAAGGATGAGCATCCAGACCGAGTTTATGGCCGCAGTTAAGTAGTTTGGTGTCGAAAGCTATTATTGAAATTAATTTAGTTGTTACCGCAAATAGGATGCGTTCGTCGCGTTCCAAAAATAAAGAGCAGGCCGTCTTAACGCCCAGATTCAATCCCATGGTTGCGACCAGAATGCACCCGACTGCATCCAGCCGAACGCGGAAAGCGCGCGCCATCGATATTCCTCCAATTGCGTAACACGACCGCGAATTGGAGCCGGGCCAGAATCATCGCGAGTTCAGCTTTGTGCGAACCCTCAACGGATATACTCCAATGATCTAAGATAGGTGTACTTGTGAAGAATGATCCCATCGAAGGGATTCGCACAACAGATTAACTCGTAGCGTCGCGATTCTGTTTCTCGCACATTATCGTAGTGTGCATGGTGGTATATGGTCGTCCGTGTTAGATACAGCGAAATGACCGGAATGGCCTGACGCTAGCGGCTCGGAACATTTTTTGGCAATGGCAAGCGGCGCGTCGAATTTAACGGCGGAGCAAATGAACTTCTTGAGAATTGGGCCGGAAACAATGCCAAAAACTCGAGATGCGAAACTGCCTCCTCTACTTCGCGGTTTGTTTTCGCCGCCTGCAGAGGTAGGGGATGCGATGACAGCAAACAAATAACATCGGATGTCTAGAGAATCTGGAGAGGATTCCTTAATTGGTCGCAAAACCATAAATATATCCACATGGAA